ATATATTATTTGTATACTTTAACATTTTCGTTTTACATTATATTTAGGATTGGTTAATTTATAATAATGTCAAGAAATAATATAATTAATACATATAAAATACATTACATATAATAATTATTGTTTTTTGCAGTATAATACTAAAAGGTATCAAAATATTAAGAAGTTTCGTAAAGATAAAGATATATGAGCAGTCGTTTTTTTATTTTTTTTGAAAATAATTCCTTGATTCGATTTTTTAAATTAAATAATTTAAAAAATTAAAAAATTTAAAAAATTAAAAAATTTAAAATTTAAAATTTTACTGTAAAATTTTTCAAAGAACTTGACAACGTGTTAAGTTTTTTTTAAAAGTTGTAAACTTGAAATTTACTTAATTAAATTTAAAAAATTATAATTTTATAATTAATTATTGCAATGTTTATTATTTTCTCTTTTTTTAAATTTTAAGTTTATTTGATTGTATTGGATTTTATATAATTTTATATATTTTTTATTTATTTATTTTTTATATGGTATTATTATATTGTATAGTTTCCAATTTGTGAACATTTGTTTATAGTTATTGAACGAAAAATTGGTTTTAAAATTATCTATAATCCATTTAAACCACTCTATATATGTTTTTGATTTCTTTAATTTACGTAAAAGTTGAACCGTTTTGGAGTTTGTGGAGATTAAATAGTTTTGGAAACAAAATACACCATTGGCAGCAGTGATAACGATGAGACAGCAGAGGAATATATAGCTATACTTATCCATTTTTATACACATTGGTTTCAAATCTTGCGATTTGTTATACACACAATCCATGAATGGATAGTATGTTAAAAAACATGCGTATATCATTGCCAAATAGGTGTATGTAAGGAATAAATAAAAGTAGTGATGGTTATTGATTCCCACACAGTTGTTTATGAATGGACAGTGATGATCCATAGCATTGGTGCATCTTTTACAAATTTTGCAATGAAATGATTTATTATTGATATGTAATGACGACCATTTATCTTTGCTGTAAATTGTACATTGGGAACAAAGCTTTTCACGCTGTTCATCCGATAGCTTTTGTTGTTTGGTCTTGTTTAGTTGTGGTAAATAGTTGTCTGCTACAATCGCTCGATAAAAGTAATGATAGATATTTGTGACTACAATGAATAAAAAGATTGCTTGAAGGGTGATCGAGATTCTAATTGATGATTCCTCCTCTGGTGTTTTCGCTACTTTGCTTGGTATGTCGAATATGTTTAATGAGCCTAATGAATAAATTGATTCTTTGGTATAGTAATATGGTAGATAATAGGTATACCACAGCCAAACACCTGCTATCACTAAATGAAATATAAACAGCACTAAAATACTCCCAACTATTTCACTCGCTATTCTACCAATTTTTGCATTTGGGAATGTATTATTTAAGAAATCTAAAAATATAAAAAAATATGAAAAAATAAAAAAAAAAAACAAGAAATTTAGTAAAAATTAAAATTAATTTTATAAATTTGGGAAATTTAAAAAACTTTTCCTACCATTGACTAGGGGCAATATAATTATAATCGATGATAAAACCACAAAATCAAAAAAGTCCACCATGCTATTTCAATTTATATGTTTGTATTATTTATAATACTTTTTCTTTGGTAAAATATAAAAAAATAAAAAATAAAAAATAATAATAAATAAAAAAAAGAAAAAAAATCAAAAAAAAAAAAAAAAAAAAAATAAGAAATTTTTTTTTAAAATATAAAAAATAAATTTATTTTTAAATAATAATTCCTTGTGTCTCTTTGAACTAGTTGAGTTTTTTTATTGTATATAAGTTATAATAGGAAACAAATAAAATAAAAAAAATAAAAAAAATAAAAATAAAAAAATCTTTCAATTGCTTGATTTTGTTTCACCTTCAACATTAAAATAAAATGTGGGTATACTGGTTGTTTTTTGTTATCAAAATAAATATCCAAATATCTTATTGAAGATTACTTTTTTTTTATCTTTATTTTTTAAATAATGGTTTTTTTGTTTTTTTTTTTTTTTTTTTTTTATGAAAAAATAAAATATATATGGTTTTATTTTGTTTTAATTTTAAATGATTTGGTTGTTTTTTATATGATATGATATGATTTATAAAGAGAAATATATACAAAATTTAAATAAATAATATGGATGGTGGTTTATATTAAAATATATACAATTAATAAAATAAATGATAAAATTGAAAAAGTTAATTTTGGTGAGGAATTTGGTGAACAGATATCTTCTCTTTCGATTGAGTTACCGCACTTTTGGGCACCATCATAGATAGTGGCCATTTTGTAGTCACAAAGAAGTGAGTTACAGTTCTTTGAGAGACAACTACCAGATGACATCATATTTCTAACGTAAGAGTGGCATTTGTTATCGACTGCACATTTCATATATTTTTGGGTGAATTCTGAAGTTTGGGTTGGTAATGGGGCACTTTGATAACATAAACCATCTTCGCAACTGCAAACGTGGTATTTGTCACAGTTTGAATCTTTTGTACAATTGCCTGCACTTGGTTGGGTGTAAGTTTTACATTGACCTCCGTCGCACTTGAATTTATAAATAAATAATAATAATATTAGTAACTTAATAAAACTATTTTTTTAATTAATTATGTTGAACTACATACATATAAGCCAGATTTACAATAGGTATCATCTGAACATGATTGGTCTTTATCTTGGGTGAATGCATTTCTGCATTTATCTTGGACACAAATTAAACCAAATACACAGGTTGGGCTACTGGAGCTTGAATCACAATTTTCGTTGAAAAGACCAACCTTTCTGCAACTTCCGCTTTCGCATAAACTTCCATAGTCACAATCGTAATCGTATTTGCAATTTAAAACATTTCTGGCTCTATCACAAACACCATTGTGGCAATATGATTCATCACCTGAACATTCTTCATTGCTTTTACATTTATCGCCAAGTTGAGCAAATCTTAAATTGGCACATTTACCATTTTGACAAATTAAACCAACTTTGCAATTATCATCAGAAAAACATGATCCATCTGAAATATAAAAAATTAAAAAAAATAAAAAAAAGTAAAATAAAAAAAAAAGATTAGTATTTTAATTTTATAAATATATGATTTATATAAAAATTATTTTTAAAAATGAAATAATTACCATTACCAACTGGTTTTTGACAAGTGTAAGCAGTTTGAGACTCGGCTAAAGCAGTACCGTTTTTAGCACAAACTAAATTATCACCACAGGTTACATCGGAGCCACATACTTGGCCGAGGGAACCACATGATTCACAAACATTTTGTGATAATGCAAATATATTTGCATTTAATAAGAGGAAGAGTAATGTTACAAAAGTAATGTTATAAAATTTCATTTTTTTTAATTTTTTTTTTTTTTAATATACAATAAACATAGATGGTGATACAAATATTTAAAAATAAAATATATGGATTGATGAGAAAAAGTGAAAAATCAAATTTAAAATATAAAATAGATCAAAGATTAAATATTAAAAAAAATTACAAGGTTTGAAAAAAAAATAAATAAAAAATAAATAAAAAAAAATATTAATTTAATTATTTTAAAAATAAAAAAAAATAGATATTTTACCAATCACAATCATTCATCATTCCTATCAATTTTTCAGCTAACTAAGAGAGACAGATTAACACAAAAAAATGAAAAAAAATAAAAAAAAAATAAAAAATATTAAAAAAAATATTAAAAAAAAAAAAATTTTGAGATATTTTAAAATTGATTATCAAAAAAATTATTTTTATGCATAAAAAACCCCCATATAAAAAATTATAAAAAAGGACATCACCATCAACAGCAAATAAAAATTGATAAAAAAAAACATTTTATTATAATAATGCTTTTCATTCAAAGCTTGCATGCAATTAAGTGTGTGGAGTGTGGAACTATCCAATAGCGAGCAAATCAAAGAATTTTTATTATTTTTTTTTTATTTTTAAAAATTTTTTTTTTTTACTTTTTTTTTTAAATCACTAATTATTTACAATCTGCTCTAATATTTGCAGCACCTAATATTTATTTTGTCTTGGTTTTTGATATTTTTGAGGAAATTTTGTAATTTTTTTTTTTTAAAATGTAACACAAAGACAACTAAGAATTATTTTCTTTCTTCCTTTTTTTTTTATTCATTTATTGGGCAAATTCTTAAAAATTGTGTTTGTTAATGTTGTTGAAAAAAAGTTTTTTTTTTTTTTTATTATTATTTATGTGTATTAATTCTTTTAATGAACTTTTTTAATTTTTTTTTTTTTTAATATTTTTATTTTTTTTACTTTTTTTTTTTTTCTTTAAGCAAATATTACTAGGTTTGTAATTATTGGTTGGTTTTGCGCTATATAGTAATTTAATTTTATTTTTTATTTATTTTTTATTTTTTTTTTTCTTTGACACTGGTATTAATTGAAAAATGTGAGATTAATTATGATTTTTTTATAATAACATGATTTTATATAGCGGAGTGGATGTTTTAGTCTTTTTCATATGCACCGCATCCAAAGATTTATTTTCTTTTGAGTTTTCTTTAGTTTCGTAATTTTTTTTTATATTTATAATAATAGTTTTATTTCTTATGCATACTTTATATGTTCATTTTTTTGACCAAGATTTCTTTTAAAATTCTATTATATAAATGTCGTCATTTTAAAAAATATTGCTCTATTAAAAAAATAAAATATTTTATTTTTTTGAAATTTGTAATTTAGTTTTTCTTTTTTATTTGACCAAAGAAAAAAGTGTCAAACATAATAATTTTATGCCCTCTATCTCTTTTAATCACTGGTTCTTTGAAATATTGAAAAAAAAAAAAAAAAAAATTGAGATGTTTCTCTTAAAAAAAAAATAAAAAAAAAATATCATATTATAATAATTTTTTTTTAAATCTTTGATCTCTGAGTGAATATCGTTGAGATCATCTATACAATATTTTATTAATAATTGATGTTTGTTACTATTTTTTGGTTTGATTAAAAAATAAAAATTTATTACGTTGTCTTATTAAATAAAAAATATGATTTTTGCTAATTTATTTTGATAGTGCCTTTTCACGATTTCTCAATTTAATTTCTACCACGATTGACATTATAAGAATTGATACTGGAATTAATACTATACATAAAACTAAGTCTGATAATTTCTTTTTTTTTTTTATATCATTTCTTACTGATTTTGGGACTATATCCACTTCGGTAGCATATCTTTGACAATAGGTTTTTACTCCATCTCTGTCGCAATTTAAATTGTTGTTTGGGTTTATTGCTAAATTAAACTTACAAAACTCGCTTGCACAGTTTTTAGTTAAACAAGAGTCTGGTGAGAATCTGTTGATTGTAAATTGACATTGATGTTTATCGGCACAATTATAAAAGTTTATAAGAGCACTTGAAAATTCTTCGCCAAATAGTCTAGTTGGGTAACATTTAAAATCTGTACAACTGCATTTGTGAAGGGGTGCACATAAATTATCCATTCTTAAACATTTTCCTGGGTCTCTAAGGTCTAGTTTTTCGCAAACTCCGCTAGTACCGCACTATAATATGAATGAATGATTAGTATATATAAAATGATATTGGTTTTTTTTATCTGATTGAGTTTGCTTTTACTTACATAAATGTCATTAGCTGCATTACATTGATCATTGGAATATGCTTGACACTTATCACCTTCGTTTAATGAAAGAATTTTAATGCATTTCTTTGAGCTTGGATCACAAAATCTACCATATTGACATTCCACCGATAGGCCACAGCTTTCACCTTCTTTTTTTAATTTTTTGCATTCTCTTGAGGGCAAATGGCAATAATCACCATATTGGCATGGGTTGTTTAGTCCACATTTTATATCGTTGTTTCTAATGCACTTTGAATCTTTACATTTTAAATCATCACCTGAACAATCTATATCTTTTTCACATTTATGATTTACTCTTTTTTTTTATTTTTTTTTATTTTTTTTTTAATATTAATAAACTATTTTTTATTTTTTTATCATTTTATACATACTGTGCAAAATTCATATTCATACAAGTACCTGTGGAAGTATTTTCGGGAATATTACATTTTAAACCTAAAAAACATTGTTCACTATTTTGACAAGATTCACCTTCTTTTATAGATTTCATACAAGTAGGTTTGATATTCCATTGCTTTTCTGCACTAGAACACACTAAATCATTTTTACACATTCCCATGCCGTTGCATTTGGCTCCTTCGTTTAGGCATTTAAGGCATAGGTTACCAACATCCCCACTAACATGGTTTATTATTATAAATGTAATAAATATTAAGATAAATTTATATTTCATTATTAATTAATTAATGATTTATTATTGTAATTTATTATTTATTATTATTATTTATTATTATTATTATTATTGCACATATAAATATTATTTAATAAATATAATTGAGGTTAAAAAAAATAAATATTTTTTAGCTAAGGGTAAATTTATATATATATACTAATATCTGTTATTATCATTGCTATTTCAATAAACTAAAAAAAAAAATTTATAAAAATTATAAAATTTTTAAAAAATTTTTTTTTTAAATTTTTTTATTTATTTTATTACACGAATATCTAAAAAAGGTTTTTTTTTTATTTTTTTAAAAAATAATTATTTTAAAATTTAAAATTTAAATTTTTAATTATTATTTATTTTTACATTTATTAAATAAATAATTTTAATAAAATTTTATATATTTTATATTGATTATAATAAAACTAAAATTAAAATATTTTTATTTGAATAGTTTATTAACTTTTATAGGTTTTTATTAAATTTGTTACAGATGGAGGAATAGAACCAGGCTCTAGATAGTCCTCAATGTTTTTATTAAAGCATAGGGTTTTAATAGATGGGGGTATTACTTGTGGTGGGATTGGGTGACGGTACCTTCCCAATGTTAATGATGTAACAGAGTTGGGTATAGAACCCACGGTCAGTTGTTTGTTAAAGTTATGACCGAGTTTAAGAAGGGTTAGTGTTTGTGGAAGATCGTTTGGTCTTATTGGTTGGTCAAAATAGTATCCAAGTATTAGCGTTGTCAAATTATTTGGTAGAATTGCTTTTGATAATGTTTGATTAAAACAACTACTGAAAGTTAATGAAAGCAAACTATCAGGTAGGTCACCTTTGAGGAGTCTCTGGTTAAATCTGTGACCAAATGTCAAAGATGTTAGTGACGATGGTAGAGCTCGAGGAAATATAGGTTTGTCGTAATGATATCCAAAAATAAGAGTGGTCACCGTTGGTGGAATTGAGTTTGGTTCTAGGTAGCTATCAAAGTCAAAGCCAAAGATTATTGTTGAAATGGGTGCATTTGATATAATTGAGCCGGCTTCTAACCTTTTATTAAAGCAATTACCAAATATAATTGTCCTTAGAGATGATGGATAACTGTTTTTATCTATCATTATTTCTTTAGGGGTTTTTTCTAATGTTAATTCTGTTATTGACGATGGTAGTGATTCTTTTGTAATGGGTTTTTTATATTTTTTCCTTATTATAAGTTTGGTTAATGATGGTAAGCTCTTGTTATCTATCTCATGGTTATAGGCTATACCTAAATCAATAGTTTTAACACTTTCTGGAATAGTATTGGGTGCAAATGGTTGATTGAAGTTTGAAAATATCAAACTTGTGGTTGATTCTGGAATTAAAAATCTGTCTATTGGTTCATTAATACTATAATAAACTATTGATGTGTAAGATCTATATTTAAAGTTTAATAAAGTTTCTTTGTCGAAAATTTCTAATTTACAATTCTCTTTAAATAATCTACAATGCTTTAGTATTTCTTGCCTAATCACTATATTTCTAAATGCTTTAAAAAACAGTTTATCAATATGGTCGTTATTATTAAAGTCATTATTATTTTTGTTATAGTTGTTTTTATTATTTTTATCCATTATTATTTTAAATTTAATTTTTTTTTTTTTTTTTTTTTATAAAATCTTTTTTTTTACTTTTCTTATAATTTTAAAAATTTACCATTTTACAATTTAATAAATCTAAAAATAAATATTATTTATTATATAAACTAATTTTTAAATTTTTTATAATTTCAAAATTAAATTCTCTTTTGATTTGGGGTTCGTTTGAGTTCTAAAAAAGGTATTATAAATTTATAATAAATAAATATAATTAAATTTTATTTATATTTTTTTAAATTAAAAAATATAAATTTTTTTTTTTTTTATTTTATTTTTTTTAAAATTTTTTTTTTACTTTAATTTTAAAATTTTTTTTTTCCACATTAATTTAATTTAAATAATGGAAAAACAACAGGAAGAAAATGTGAATACTACTGATAACCCTACCAATGCTGCTACTGTAAAACCTGCAGAGCAACCAAAGTCATCAGGAGGATGGTAAATATACTATATTTTAATCATTATTATTATTATTATAATACTAATAATATTTAATATATAATAAAAATAATTAGGGGATTTTCAGGTTGGGGATTTAGTAACATAATTGAATCGGTTTCAAGTCAAGTACAACAAATGAATATTATGGAAACAGTACAACAAATTAATACAGGATTAGTTGAAACTATAAAGACAACATCGGATCAAATGGTTACTCTATATAGAGAGGATTTAAAAGAATTTTCAACTTCAATTATGAATGATACATCTCAAATTTTACAATCGCAATATGATACTGTTAAACAATATATACCTGATTCCATATCAAATGCTATGGAAGATTTAAAAAATGGAACAGCCGCTTCGAATAACGACAACAATAATAATAATAACCAACCAAGTGGCTCTACTGGCACACCTATTAAATCACCAACTAACTATTTAGCAAAAAGTTTATCATTTTTTACATCCGATTCAAATGATATACAAGAGTTTGAGCATTGGTGTGAAAGTTTTGATGTCGATTCACACTATGTAGAAATCAAAACTCTCTTATCTAGTGACGATATTAGAAGTTTATATAGCAGCTATGTACCTTCAAAAATCTCACATCAACAATTCTGGTTAAAATATTTTTATAAACAATATAAAACTCAAAAAGAGGAAGAAAAAAGACAACTTATTTTGCAGCGTAAGTATTTACTATTATATAGTAATAAATAATAAATAAAACTAATATTTTTAAAATTATAAATTATAGAGGTAACCCAAGAAAAAGAAGAAGAGGTCGGTTGGGATGATTTTGATGAAGAAGAAACTGAATTATCAAAATTAGATATAAATGATAATAACAATGATAACAATGATAATAATAATAATAATAATAATAAAGATAATATCCAAGATTTAAATCAATTAGAAAATACAGATTTTAATAGTTTAAAACAAGTTCAGGTTTTAGAAAATATCCAACCAATAACACCACAAAAACCAGAAGAGAAAAATGAAGAGGAGGAAGAGCTTGATAGTGATGAAGAAATTGATAGAGAAATCGAAAGACAAAGATTGTTACAATTAGAAAAACAAAAGAAATTAAATGAAACACCAAAGAAACCACAAGAATTTACTTTAGTAGATGACACTTTTGAAGACGAAGAGGATGATGAAAATATCGAAATTAATAAAAACTATCCAGAATTAGACCAAATTTCTATCACTCCATCAAAATCAAATAATAATAATAATAACAATAATACCAGTTTACTCAATACACCAAATAAAAATATTAATATCAATAATTTAATCAATGATGAAGAGGATTTTGGTTGGGATGAAGAATAATTCAATCAAATAATAATATAATAATATAATAATAATAATAAAATACCAGTAGCGGGTGTTTATTTTTTTGTTTAGTTTTTAAAATAATATAGTTTTTATAATAATAAAAAAAAAAATAAAAAAAAATAAAAAAAATAAAAAAAATTAAAATTAATTTAAATAATTTTATTTTTACAATTTAAAATTTCATTTTATTTTATATTATTAAAATTAAATTTAATAAATATAAACTAAAAAGTAAAGAAAAAAAAATTTTGTATTTTATAGAAAGAGATGTCGATTCTATGTTTTTTTTTTATTTTTTTTTTTTTTATTTTTTTTTTTTTTTTATTTAATTAATTAAATTATAAAATAAAAAAATAATTGTCTCTTTTTTTTTTTTTCTTTATTATACTTATTTATTTAATACCGTCATTTATTTGTTTTTTATCTTTTTTTTAACAAATAACTCCTCAGTCCTAACAAATAAAAACAAATCCTCATTAATAAAAACAAATCCTCTCAAATAAAAACCAATCCTTACAAATAAAAAAAAAAGTGGTAAAATAAAAAAAAAAAAAAAAGGTAATAAATTAAAAAAAAAATAATTATTATTTAAGGTCAAAAAATAATATAAATTATCTTTAAATTTTTTTCAAGCAGAAATATATTAAATTTTTATTACCAATTAATAATAATAATAATTACATATTTTTATAATATTTATAAAAATATTTTTAGAAAAAAAAAATGGATAAATTTTTTTTATTTGTCATACTATTACAAATTACAATATTAAATTTTGTTGTTTCTAACGCCACACCAATGGTTGTAAATGATAGGCCTATTATTGGTGTTTTAACCCAACCATCGGCATCATTTAAATCATATGGAAAAAAATATATTATGGCAAGCTATGTAAAATTTGTTGAAATGGGTGGTGCCAGAGTTGTTCCCATTGATTATGATTTGCCATTAGAGGAACAAACCAAGCTTTATAATAAACTTAATGGAATTCTATTACCAGGCGGTGATGTAGACTTTAACAAAGAACATCAATACAATAAAACCCTCTACCACATTTGGGATTATTTTTTAAAAACTAATAATGGTGGTGACTATTTCCCACTTTGGGGCACATGTTTGGGCTTAGAAGAAATTGTATCAGTATCCGGTAAATCGTATGATGTATTAGGTAATTTCCCAGTACATAAAACCAGTCTTCCAATATCATTTACAGAACATGCCTGCACCAGTAGACTATATCAAGATTGTTCAACTGAAATAATCAATATATTTAAAAATGAAAACGTCAGTTGGAATAACCACAACTTTGGTATATCACCTCAGAAATTCAATGAAATCGGGTTAAATAAAATATTTGACATACTTGCATTAAATAAAGATGAAAATGGAAATACATTTGTTTCAGCAATAGAGGGCAAACACAATTTACCAGTTTTTGCTGTAATGTCACATCCTGAAAAAACATTTTACAGTTGGGCTAAAGACGGCACCAATCATTCAAAACATTCAATTTTAGCAAATCAACACTATTCAAACTTTTTCGTTAATGAGTGTAAAAAATCTTCACATCAATTCACCAATCAAGAAGAAGAGTATAGCTTATTAATTTACAATTTTAGTCCAGTTTACTCAATGCGTTATTTATCCGTTCCAGTAGAACAAATTTATTTTTTTAAATAAAATAAAATAATGGCATTTCTTTTTATTAAAATAGTAACTTTTTATAATAAAATAAACTAATTAATATAAATTTATCTAAAAACATATATTTAAGACTGGGGGGTAAAAATAAAATATTTTTAAAATTATTTATTTTTTTTTATTTTATTTTTTATTTTTTTTTTTTTTGGTATATTTTTTTGGTTTATTTTTTTTTAAAATGTAATATAATATAATAATATTATTTTATGTATTTTTTTATATTTTTAAATGTAAATAATAATAATGAATAAAATTATTGTGTTGTTTATTTATTTTTTTTTGTTTTTAAATTTTTTAAAAACAAATTGTTTAAAACAGGATGGGTGTCATCACGCATTAAATGATAGACCAGTTATTGGAATTTTATCACAGCCAGCATCAAGTGACAAATATAAAGAATATGGTTATCAATATATTGCAGCATCTTATGTCAAATATGTAGAAAGCGCAGGCGCTCGTGTAGTGCCAATACTTTATGATCAAGACGAAGATACACTAAGGAAATTATTAAATTCTATCAACGGTATACTATTGCCTGGTGGGGGTGTCTATTTTGACGAGCAGCCAATATACAACAAATCACTGTATTTAATTTGGAATTATGTGATCGAATCTAATAAGCGTGGTGACTATTTTCCGTTATGGGGCACATGTTTAGGCTTTGAAGAAATAGTATCGGTTGCTGCCAATACTTTTGATGTATTAACATCTTTTAATGCTTCAAACTATTCAATCCCTTTAAATTTAACAGATCAAGTTTTAAATTTATCAAGTAATAGTTTATTATTTAAAGAAATGCCGTTAGAAATGTTAAAAACCATTTCAAATGAACCAATTACAATGAATAATCATAGAATGGGTCTATCTGTCGAAACATTTAACAACTTTACATCGCTGCATCAATTCTTTGATATCCTATCACTAAACGATGACAAAAGTGGCAATACTTTCATATCAGTTATAGAATCCAAAGAATATCCAATCTATGCAGTTATGTTCCATCCTGAAAAGCCATTGTTTGAATGGTACGAAAAAGAAGATATCA